GTGTCTGATTTTAATTTTAAACTGACCACCTCTACTGCATCATCAACAGGAATGCACGTAAAGAGTGATGTGACATCAAAAGAGACCATTGTTTCATCAGTCTCCATTATGACATCCCTCACCTTATCCACAAAGTCCATGGTGTTCTGTATGTGGTGTTCTGAGCTGCCAACTAAAGGGATGAGTACCGACGCCAGATATTTGGAAACATTGTAAGTGACAGAGTTAATCATACTAACAATTGGTCTTAAAGGTACACCTTGTTTGTGGATTTTAGGTAAACCATACAGACTAGGTGTGGCCTCCCCTGGGTACAGTCTGTGGTACAGAAAACGGTCAATAGCCTTGTCCTGCTCCAAAATTTTCAGGCAATCTATCAACTTCTTCTTGTAACCACTTCCTGGATCTCTTTTCAGAGGTTCATAAGTGTTTAAGTCACTAAGGAGTGTCATAACTTTCTCATGATAGTCTTTCTGGTTCAAAATCACTGTGCACCTTCCTTTGTCTGCTGGGAGAATGATGATGTTTTTGTCCTTGCTAAGAGTGGTGAGTGCATCCCTCTCCTCTCTACTGATGTTGGAAGGTGGTGGTTTGGCATTGCTGAGGCAGGATGAAACTTTGATTCTGAGCTGTTCTGCGTCACACTCTTTAATTTTGTTGTTTTTTATTGAACACCAAGCCTCAGTGGCATGTATCATAATCCAGTAACATTTGTAAGCTGTTGGTACTAAAAAATAAAATGATTGCCAAACAAGATTGTTTAAAATTGATGACTAGACAGTAGCATGGTGTTATTATTTTTGTTAAAAAATTATATTTTTAAATTGTTGTTTGTTACTTTGATTTCCTTGACTTATGTTTCAGAACCTTATTTTCAGATACCTTCAAAATGTAAGTCACTACCACTTTGCTTTCTTCCAGTCATTAATGTTGTGATGAAAAAATACAATTTTAAATGATTTTCTCCTTTATTTACAGCGCTCACGAATCCAGGTTTGGCTGTATGAGCAAGTGAACATGCGGATAGAGGGCTGCATTATTGTAAGTAATTGTTTCTTTGTAATGAACATCCATTCATCATCTTCCACTTGTTCTGAAGTCGAGTCATGGGGCCAGCAGCTTGAGCAGGGAGGC